AAGCACCCCGGGCAATATAGACCCGCGTTACTACAGGGAGGTAGAAAAGTTTATGCCACCTGCTAAAAATAGGGGAGGTAGAAAAGTTTATGCCCCCCGGAGGTAGAAAAGTTTATGCCTCCGTCAAAAATGAAGGAAAGGTTGGGATTGGACTTCGAGGGCCACTACAACCCGGAATTCAGGAAGAATAGCAAGCAGACTTCGAGGGCTGAAGCTTAGTATTCCACAAACATAGATCAACCGAGCAAACAAACTTCGAGGGTTGGAGCTCAACTGATCTAAGGTAGATAAGATTATGCCTTAACCCGGAGGAGAGGGAAGTCAGGGACATATTGGATGAGTGCCCCAGGCATGCCCAAACCCCGGGAAGATGAGATTTAATATAGAAAATGAATTATGTACTTGCATTTGGATAGATGCAAAGATATGATCATTAAGGACCACATTGATGGGCCGAAGTTCACATTTTTTTATTTTGGTTCACAATAAAGGCTCCTAATGAAATAAACAAGAAAAGAAATTCAGGGAGTTCATTGGTTGCTGATCCGGAAGGTATATCTTTGAATCACAACGATGATTCCTACTTCGAAATTAAGGAACATTCCTTAGTTTGGGAGGAGGGGAAAACCTCTGGACCAAGCAAGTGAATGCCCTTTGATACAAAACAAGGAAAAGGAATTTGATTTGCAGGAGGCTAGGAACTGAAGGAGGGCCTATTGCATCCATGCATTCAACAAGAAGGAGGTGGGGGACCCTTCCATGGGCTCCTTCTCTTTGACGAGGGACGCGTTGATGAATTAGCAGATTCCCATGTGTCATAATCTTCCCATGTTCCAGGACAGGGGGCTGCTCCCTTCGTTGGAAAACCATTGTTAGAAGGCTTCAGCAGGTTTGGAGGAGCAGTCCGGCTTTCACATGAAGGTTCCGCCTCAACAGCTGGCGGAGAACGTCCAAGCTTATTCCTGCACATCCTCTGGTACAAGGCAAAGTCCTGGAGGGTCATAGAGTCCCAGTCTATCTCCCCGGAGGGAAGTCTGGGTGGACTTGGAGGGGATGGAGCCGGAAGGCGAGGCGCCGGATAAAGTCTCAAGAACTCGCCGGGACTTAAACCGGCCATGTCGTTGGATTGGGCCGGAGAAATGAGGGAATCGTCATCTGAGGAAGAAGATGTCCCAGAGAGGGTTAGGTCAATGACGACTTTGCCCTCAGATTTACTTGCCATGGCGAGGAAGTCAGAAAGTAATGGACTGGCAGTTAATTGCCCTTTCTCATTTTATAGTCAAAGGGAAGGGGATAGTTGGAATTGATGAACGCAGTCAAAAGACGTGAGAGATTATGCGATTGGCGAAGGAAGCGGTCGAAGCTTTCCCAATGTTTGACTAAGAGTTTCTCGCCACTTAAGTGCATGGGCTGGTTAATTGGGCCCATTTGCGCCTTGAAAAAGACGTCATCCTTGGAAGGTAAGGAGTTAAATAGACTTAGACTTCTACTCCATGCAGATGACGACACGTGCAACAAACTTATATTAAATGACAGGAGATAAAGGATCTTTCCATTAAATAGCTCAAACAGAAGATTACATTCTTTTGGGTTACAGTAATGGGCCTTATCCCTGATCTAACTACGAAATAAAGAAAAGAGACGGGAGACAAAGATTTTCATTAAATAACTCAAACAGAAAAATTACATTCTTTTGGGTTACAGTAGTGAACTTTGTCCCTGATCTACTTCTATCTCACTACGAAAGAAAACTGAAGGCAAGGCGGGTCAACGCTTCAGGAATTCCAAGGAATGAGTTCGCTGGCCCTTGCTTCCCTGCCTGAACCAGAAGAGAACCCCAAGGCAGGAGAGACATGCAGAGTGTCCGCCGGAGACACTCCATGATATTCACAAGAAACAGGGTAAAATCCATGGGTTGGACCTAAAACAATTCCCGTGGATACCATCCTGACATTCCCGTGAGGGCGCCCATCAGTCTCCCTTGATGACATTCAAAAGATACGGGACGGAACCAACGGGTTGGGATTGTAAAACATTCCCTCCGTCGGCACCATCCGGTCATCTCTCTGGAGTCAGACCAGGAGGACGGTAGAGCATGAGAGGGGAATTCCAGGCTTGCCCCCGTTTATACAGCAGGAGGAGGTGGATCCCGGAAGGTTCCGTCCTTTTCCCTGTTTATAAATGGGAGCTTGTCTCCCCCCATGTCGTAATCCCCCCACTCCTCGGGCTGCTGTCCATAGGACTGCTGAGGAGAGGGAGAACCCTGGGAGGAAGGCCTCGCACCAGAGACCAGCCGGGAAGCTCTTGAGTGAGGATTGCGTCTCTTCTGCGGACGAGAAGTGCCAGGACAGCCAGAAGAGACTTCAGCCCTGGCACTGTTAGGAAGCACGCTGGGACCCGGAGGGAAACTCCCCGAGACCTGTTGGGGGAGGTGAAGGTTATTCTCCTCCCTGGGCAAGGGGGAGGTTACCGATTGTTCAGAGGCAAGAGAAGGCCCAGAAGAGAGCTCAGGTGTTGGGGACCCAAGTGAAGGAATTGCCAACGAAGAAGAATCAGAAGAAGAATCAGAAATAGTAAGATCAATGAAGACAACTTTATTGGCGTTATTAGCCATGTTGAGAGATTGATTTTGGTATGGAGAGGGCTTAGCCCAGCCCCTTAAATAGGCGAGTAATCCCAAAGGAGAAGGGCAAGGGACGCGGAGTCAAAGCGCTTATCCGATTGGGAGGCAGTTGTGGATTCCTGAGGAGAGCTAGGGTTCCACTATCTTACCATTGGGCTAAGGTGAGTTGGGCCCGGCATAATTAAAGTGGGCCAACCACTTAGCGCGACGGTAAATAAGAGGAACAGTGTGTTGTGAACGTGGTTAAGCCCAAAGCCTAGGCGAGTAAAAAATCTGCTAAGTCCTAGGGCGAAATAAGAATTCCAAAAAAGAGAACAGTCAGATTACTAAAGGAGTCTACATGAACAAAAATACATCAGGAGTTATCAGTTTACTATCATCCAAATAAGTACAAGGCAAAGTATAACAGTCAACAAGGAGGGATAAGTCAAGGCCCCGGGTCTGCGCGAGAAGCTGGGGAAGGAAGAGGAAGAGGTAACCCATAGTAGGAGATGAAGTCATCCAAGGTGCGGTTCTCTGGGAGACCACTCTGGACTACCCCATAGATGCATTGTTGCATATCAAATTGCCCCTCTTCGTAGAGGGCTTTGGCACGGGCAATCAGGGTGGCCACCTCTTCTTGATGAGCAGCGATCGTCTTCTCTTGTTCATCTGCCTTCGCCCGTAGCTCACTTGCAGCCTGTCTCTCTCTTTTCAACTGCTCGAGGACGAGCCGTCTTGCCTCCATCTGCCTCAGGGCGAATTCATTGTAATGGGAACTCTCACGCTTGGCATCCTGGAGGGATTCCTCCAGCGTGGAAATCCTGGACTCCCTTTCAGCCAACTCAGCTTTCAGGCTTCCAACCTGATCTTCTGAAGCTGAGGCCCTTGATTCCAGATTGGAGATTTGTGCCCGGAATCTATCGAACTGCACTTCCAGATCCTGGGTCTCCTTGTGGTAATTAGCAATCTGATCTTGCAGGGTCTGGACCTTGGATCTCTCAGCTGCTAGCTCGGTAGAGCCATCTGCTTGGAGCCGAGCATTCTCCCCTTGCAGGATCTGGACTTGTTGTTCCAGGGTGTCAACCTTCTGTTGCAAAGCCCTGGCAGCCAGTTCCCTTTCCCTCAGGAGCACAATAGCCAGAAAGTTTCCAGAGGCTCCACCCAGGTATTCCTCAGTCAGAGTGAGGAGTGATTGCTGGGTCTGGGGAAAGAAAAGATAAGTCAAGAAAGAAAAAACTAGCCTAAAAAGAAGATAAAGGAAATCTCAAAGAGGAGGAGTACCTATTCCATGAAGTGCAAAGCATTGAGGGCAAGCAGGTCGGGACGGGCCTGGGGAATTTCAGGCCCCTGCACAGATTCCCTCATTCTCTCAAGGTTGGCCTGGATGGTCCAATGGGAGGCTTGCAAGGACCTCAGACCACGGGAGAAGTCTGCCCAATTCTCCGTAAAAACGAGATAAGTTTGTGGCGTGAACCTGCGCCAGATGGGGAGACTGACAGCCGGGGGTGTAGTAGCGGGATGTCGTTCTTCTGGCCCTCGCTGCTCCTCCTGGGTCTGCTGCGTCTCAGTCTCTTCCCTCACTTATGGGGAAGCGTCAGCATCCCTCTGCTCTCCAGCCTCATTTTCCTCTGGGCAGGAGATTTCCATTTCCAACCGCACTTCAACTTCCTTCTCTACTGCAGGGAAAGACTCTGGTTCTTTCTGCCCCTCAGCTTTTTCCTCCAGTTCTAGGGGGGCAGATGCAGTTTGAGGGGGGGAATTGTTGGCATCAGGCTGAGGTTGCACCGCAGATTTTGTGAGTGACGCCTGGCCTGGATGTTCATCTGCCTCCTGATCCAGACTTCCCGGTTGGGGCAACTCCAGCCCTAAATTTCCGGGAGTGGCAGCAGGAGGATTGTTCTGAGGGCCAGAAGAGGTCGACAGGGGGCTAGGCGAGACGGAGATACTGTCATCCCTGTTCTTCTTTAGTAGGAAATCATCATCAGTGACTCCCTCCCTTGGTCGTTTCTGGGATGGAGTAGGTCTCCTAAGCCCGGGGATGGCAGAGATGGGAGTGACCTCTAGGGCAGCGGCCGGATTGCGCACAACTAAGGTAGTGGAACCGCCTTGAGGTTGATTTCCTGAAGAGCTCGCAGCCGGGATAGACTCTGCAGTAGAAGGAACCTTTGATCTCCCAGGAGAAGGCACCTCTTCAAAGGGGATCGGGTCAGGACCCAGGGGATAGTAGAAACCAGCCTTCTTGTACAATTAGGCATCCTGAAGGGACTGGTGTGGAATTAGACCTTCTTTTCCCTTCACGGCATTGTACACCCCTTCCGCTAATTCTGCTGCAGCGAATTTCGTCCGGGAGATGGAACGCCGGAGAACAACACCCAGAAGGTCAAGGGGACTATGAGCTGGGAATTCAATGATGAAGTATTTTAGTGACCATCTGTCGATCTTGAGCTCAACCTTCTCAAAAATAGGAAAATGGTTATGGGGGTACAGGCTGTAAAAGGGGAAACCACCGATACTGAAGAGGAGAAGGAATTCGTCCAGTTTCGGGGTTCTATCCAAGGCACAGCACCGCAGGATGTAGGACGCGACGTACTTGTGCGCGTTGGCAGTCAATTGACCCGGAGCAAATCCAAAATGGAGGCAGAGGTCACGGAGCAGACCGTGGAGAGGCAACCTAAATCAATTCTCCACGGAGTGGAAATGCATGACCATATATCGTTGGGGATTCGGATTATAAGATAAGCTGATTCCCCCAACGACATCGGGATGGTGGACCCGGAAACCTTTGCCCAGGAGTGTTGCGACCTCTCGAAGTTCGTTCTCCTTGATAATTGAGGGTTTGTGGGTCCAGGTTTCAGGATTTGTAGGGGCCATTCCGGAATAGGAGACAAGGATTTTGGGGAAATTGCAGTCGGAATTCGGGTCGGGTTAAAACTCAGTGGCGAGAGGAAGAAGATGAGTCCAGAGAGGGTTTTTATCCGTTGAAAGGATGGACCCGAGGTACTCGAGTGCGACATTTCTAATCTGACACGAAGATCGAAGGCGGCTCATCATTAGTTTTCTAGCGACACGTCGCCAGAAAACTAGGAGGCTTGTGATGGATATCGGGTCTGGTAGACCCGACTCCAGGCCCAAAGGAAGGCCCATAATAGCCTAAAAGGAATAAGATCAGATGGGGATGACGGGCCAAGCCCGTTGTCTCGCATACAGCAAGTAAAGGAGGACGGCCCAAACATGGATAGAGCAAAGGTGACCCAGTCCAAGGGAGGAATGGGACACGTGGCCCACATCCTTAAGTTGTGGGCGAGATGGGAAGAGAACGAGACCGGAAAGAGGGGGAATCACAACCCCATGATCTCCATAATCCATTTCCATTTTGTATAATTTTAATTAGAATATTAGAAGTACTATAAAAAGGGGGAAAACCCGCCATTGTAATCCAAGTCACAACAAGATAATTCAATACTCAATCAAAGAATATTATCGAGTAATTATTTATTCCTAATTCATATTTCGTTCTTGGTCCGCCATCTGATCGGGTTAATCCCATCAGGATTAATCAAAATGCAATGTCTCTAACTACCATAACAAAACAAAAAAGAATCCCTACATCAAATAATAATCAAATATCTCAATTTGACATTAAAAATACTTTGTGTAAAAAATCAAATGGTCTTGGATTTTTCCTCTTAAAATCTTCGGCCATCCCATATTGTACATTGTATTTTATTTTGACATCAATAATTATCATATAATTAAAATGATGAAAAATAAAATAATATATATATAGGTATATAATTTCGGCCCTACATATATATATATATATATATATATATATATATATATATATTTGAAATAAAAATTTTATTCAAATAAAAATGTGCCTAAGTGCCAACAGGCTGACACCTAGTACTAGAGAAAGTAAAAATTCCAAAGCTAAGAATAGGCAACTTATATAATAATGTAGTATCAATTTTGTTCGTCCAACACCACAATTGCAAAAGCTTGTTTATAGATATCATAACCTCATCCCGTTTCCAAACGCCTTGAGAATAAAGGATTGAGTTGTATCTCTTCCAAATCGACCAAATGATGATTCCCGGCAAAATAAATCTGATATTACCCTTAAACGTTGATCGGTTAGAGGACAACCACCAACCTAGCAAAGATTGAGTAACTGTCCAAGAGCTGCCAATGACAGGTGCTTCCGACGGCACTGCATATAACCTCCAGAGCTCCACAACCTCTCTGCAGTTGATGAAAAGATGATCCTCATCCATATCGTCTGCCATACAAAAAGGACAAAGAGCTGATGTATGCACATTCATCCGGCTAAGATTCATGGGGAGAGGGAGAATCCTGTTCAAGCACCTCCAAAGAAAGATGCCAACTTTTCCAATCTGCCTCTTATCCCATAAGTAAACACATGACAGTTGCTTTGGGTGATGATTATAAGTTAAAGAATAAGCCACTTTGAAACTATAGGTTCCAGTCCTCCATTGCAGTACCCCATTGTTAAAATGGCAGTGAGGAGGAACTAAGTAAAAAACCCTGCAGATGGCTTTCCATGTATAGGAATCATATGCTTGATATGCGTAATCACCATTCCTAAAGTACTTGGCCCGCATATACTGACTCCAGATTGAAACCCCCTTATGGACCTTCCACCATAAATCAATAGAGGCAGCTGTTTGACAAAGATTTAAATCCCTCAAACCCAGGCCCCCTTCTTCAAAAGGCAAACAGAGCCTAGTCCATCTCCTCCAATGGTATTTGTGGCCATCATCCTTAGCTCCCCAAAAGAAATTAGCCATCAAGCCATTGAGACATTTGATGATAGATTTCGGGAGACTTTGTGCAGCCACTAAATGTAAAGGTATAGAAGAAAGCACATGTTTGATAAGTATAAGCTTCCCCATCTGGTTTAGCTTTCTACTGTACCATGATATTATCCTCTTTTCAAACTTCTCCACCAACTCCTTGCAATGTATCTTCTTGAGCTTACCTCTGACAATAGTAGAGCCCAAATAAGTAAACTCCTTTGTATGGCACTTAATGCCTAGAATTCTGGTAATTGCCCTTTTCTGCTCAAGCCTCATCTTGTCATGCACAATGGCTTGACTTTTGTTTAAATTTATAGCCTGCCCTGAAGCTTCCATAAAGGATGATAAGATTGTCTTCACTCTCAATAAGTTTCTGCAATCTGCCTTTGTAAAAATAATAATGTCATCTGCATAAAGAAGATGGCTAGGGGTTGGGGTTCTGCCAGAAGAAAAGGAGGAGATCCTGCCAATTGAGTGCTGGTAATTCAAGAATCTGGTAAGACCCTCCAAGGCTAGAATGAAAAGTAAGGGTGATAAAGGATCACCCTGCTTAACCCCACACTTCATAGGAAAGAAACCCTTTGGCTGCCCATTAATAAGCACAGAAAAGAAGGTTGATTTAAGGTTTCCCATAAAAAGCTGAACCACTCTTTGATTAAAACCAAATTTAGCCAGGATTCCTTCCAGAAAATGCCATGAGAGTTTATCAAAAGCTTTAGACAAATCCAGCTTCAGTATACAATTCCCTCCTCTCACCTTTGCTGAAAGGAGATGAACCATTTCCTTAGCCATGAGAACATGCTCAGTTATGCTTTTGCCCTGCTGGAAAGCAGCCTGCTCTGGAGAGATAAGCTTGGGCAATAGTTTTTTGAGTCTGTCACTCAATATTCTGGTTGTAATCTTGCTAAAGAAAGTGGACAGAGAAATGGGTCTAAACTGATCCAGGGTGATGGCAGACTCATTTTTAGGGATAAGAGTAATTAAAGTACTGCCAAAGACTCTTGGCAGCTTGACCCCAACAAAGAATTCCTGGACAGCCTTACAAACATCAAGTTTGATGGTATCCCAGCAATACCTATAGAAGAAACCATTAAACCCATCACTACCAGCTGAACTATTAGGATTTAAACTCCAAACTGTTTTCCTAATTTCCTCCTCCTCTGGAATAGAGCCCATAAATACATTATCCTGATCAGTCATAGCAGGCTGTATTTGACTTAAAATATCCTCCATGTCCCCCACATAACTGCTTTCAAAAACCTTCTGGAAATGATCAACAGCTGCCATCACTACTACAAAATAGACTTTACACAGCGGATAAATATGACTTTTCCCATCGCAAAATACCCGATGTGCATGCAACCGATGGGAAAGCCTTCATGTTTACACAGCAGATAAATATCCGTTGTGTAAAGTTTACACATCGGATATATTATCCGTTGTGTAAACGTTACACAGCGGATGTTTAACCGCTGTGTAAACATGAAGGCTTTCACATCGGTTGCATGCACAACAGATAGTTTGCGATGGGAAAAGCCATATTTATCCGATGTGTATTCCTTAAAAAATCTAAATAAGACCTATATATATATATATATATATACACACACACACACACACAGAGATATATATATATATATATATATATATATATATATATATATATATATATATTTATGAAAGTATTTTTATTAAATGAAATAGAGAAACAAGTACAATAGGGGAGGACCAAACCAAAGCCCCTCGAGAAAAGCTAAAAACTATTCCCTACATCAAAAACATTGTCCAAATAAAAACCAAAACCAAGGACTAAATATCATAGTCAAATCTAGATAAACATACACCAATGCTGGTAAAACAAATTTGAAACCAAACCCAAGAATTGTTAACCAACAACCATATGTAGAAGCTAAATTCTAGGATAACCAACTGAGCTTGTGTGTAATAAATTGCATCATGAACCTGCTGGTGTTTGTAGCCTTGTTCTTCATTGCCTTCCTTGCATTGCTTCAGCTAGGACTGCCCAGGTTCAACTGGTTTGTTCATGGAGCTGTAATGGTTAAGTGCTGATGAATAGGACACAACCCATAACCTGGAATTGGCATTTGAGGTCTAAACCGGCTGGTCACTGGTTTTTAGACTCTGAATTCCGGAATTTTCAGTGATGGGCAATGACACCTTTGGGTACCCACTGGCTGTTCATGACCTCTTTTATCCTTCAACACCTTTGGTTGATTATTTGACTTCATGGGGAGATTTGTGTTCATTGCCCAACATCTCTAGCCACACTACTACTTGGGGCTGCTGTTTTGAACTTGTGTTGGGGCTGTCTCAAAATGGAAGGAGTGATGGACTGCTGGATGTGTTTTGGGGCTTTAGATGGGTTTGGGCAGTGAGCACAACTCTTGTTGTGGCAGGTGATCCCTTGGGCTGAATTGGGCTTCTTTATCACGAGGTGCACCTCTTCATGTACTCTTAGACTAGCAACTTATGGAACCATTGTTGAGGCTTGAACTCCAATGTTTCAATACCACATAAGCGATGGATTCGAAGTAACCCCCTTGTATTTGAATTTTGTTTCCATCAAATAAGCTTGCTGGTCTGATGGAGGAATGCTGAATGCTTCTTGTTTGAAACCTGATTTAAGCCTGTTTGGTGTTTGACTTGCTCGCTGGCCAGGTATGGGCGGGGCAGATTCTTGTGGTGCAGTTGTGGTGGCTCCTGGACTTCACCACCTGGGTTACCTTGTGACCTTACGTACGTGGATGAGGAGGACATATTCATGGCTGTTCCAACTATCTACAAAAACCTAAAACCAACAACATAACTGATTGAACTATAAGTCAACTGCATAGATAAATGAACCAACATCAAACTGAAATCCAAACCTGATGCCAACTGAAAACCAGAAAACTATTGCCAACTGAACAAGCATGTGCCCAACTGAAAAACATCAGCCCACTAAACCAAAAGCAAATAATAATCCAAACCAGAAACCACTGCGAACTGAACCATAGAAAATCAGAGTGTCATTAGAAATAGAGATGAGATATTATTCAACATAAATAAGTAAAAAATTAGAAATTAAAGTGTTGGAACTCATAGAACTTGAGAAAAAAGTAGCTCAGAAGTCACAAAATAGGTGTAATACTATAGTTTATATTCAACCATGGAAATATTTGCACATATAATGAACATAAAAGGAATCCATGAAAGGAACATAAAAGGAATATTCAAACATGGGATGGGATATTAAAGAAACCCTAAAAACTAAATCTTAATACATAAACTCAAAACCTAAAACATAAATCATAAACAAAGATGGCGAAGAACAAAGAATTCAAGGGTTCAACACTAGTAATTGAAAATGAAATTCAACTATAAGCAATGAAATGCCCCTAAATCATGTCCACAAAATACCAAAAAATTGGCGAAACCGCAAGCTAAAACCTGAGAATTTTGGGATGGGCACCTCGTTGTGAACAGTAATGGCGAAACCCCAAAATTGCTCCAATCTCGCAAATCTTTGAATGGAAATGAAAACTAACTTTAAATTATGAGAGATTTTACCAAGTCCCTTAGGATTCCCAACAAAAGGCCTTCAATTGAGCATGAACGAAGGGGAAATCAGACTTGTCGTTTTAAAGATGAACAGTCATGGCGAGGGAGTTACCCTTCAATTCAGCAAAATAAGGCCCCAAATCACCAAAATTGAGCTCGGAAATATGTTCCCCAGACGATTTCCATTCAACAGAAACAAGATTTACAGAAATCGATCCACAAAAACAATTGGAATTGCAATTTAGGGATGCGCAGGAAGAGGGGGAGTTGACGCTAGCGTAAAAATAAGAGGGATGCGCGAGTATAAGATTTTGAGTAGAGCTTTAGACATAGAATATGGTGAAATTCGATGTGTAAAAGTTTAAAAAGATTAACTCAACCCGCGGCTCTGATTTGGTAAAGCACCCGATTAATAGATATTGGTTTAGACAGCGGTTTACATATATCGGATGTTTAAAGTGCGCTGTTAAATAACAGTTTTGTAGTAGTGCATAGAGATACCATCCAAAGAAGAGGTAAGTCCATTCGAAGTTTTCAAGGTTGAAATGTGTAGTCTTTTCCTTCTGCCCTTAACAAAAGCATGAAAGAAAGCCGTAGAAGCATCACCCTGAGAAATCCATTTAATATTGGCTTTTTGAGCCCAAAAAGCCTCTTCTTTCTTATGAGCCTGTTGAAGGAGAGCCCTTGAGAGCTTAAACTCTAAAAAATTCTCCTCACAATCATCCAATTCAAAAGCTGCCTCAGCCTTTTCAGCTCTGGTTTCAGCTTTGGACACCTCCTCAAAAATATTACCAAAAGTTTCTTTATTCCACTTAAGAAGGCTCTTCTTAAAATGGTGTAATTTATCAGCCAATCCCCTCATCCCCCCTCCGTCATATCTTTTGTTCCAAGAGGATTGCAATAAATCCTGGAAAGTAGGATGGGAGCACCAGACATTTAAGAATCTAAAAGGCCTAGGACCAGTTGGTGGAAGATTATGGCATCTAAGTAGGATTGGCCTGTGATCTGAATTCCCTCTTCCCAGATGTCTGATCTCCAGAGATTGATACCAATCCATGCACCCCTCATTTACCAAAACCCTATCCAACCTTCTGCACACATTTCCCCTACCTCTCTTCCCAAACCAAGTGAAAGAGCTCCCCAAAAAAGGTGGAGAGACCAACTCACAGTCACTAATGGTTTGGGTGGAATCCTCAATACTTCCCATGTCTGGACCAATAAGGCCTTTATGCTCAGATATGCTAGCAACTGTATTAAAATCCCCACCAAGAATCCAAGGATCTGATCTAGGAAAAAGAGATCTTATAGAGTCCCAAAGTTCCCTCCTCTCAAGTCTACTATGTCTGCCATATATACTAGAAACCCAGATTAGAGAACCATCCTCTACCACTTTAAAGCCACATGTGATTATCTAATTTTCCTCAATAAGAGTATGCAAGGAGAGCTTATTGTCCTCCCAAAGAAACCATAACTTATTATCAAGAGCCTTAAAGCCTTTAGGAAATCCCAGCTTCATTTTATACCAATCAAGGTGTGCATCATCAACCAAAGGTTCCAAAATGGAAATAAAATAAAAGTGATATTTTTTGTGAAGAGAAATAAGGCGAGAGATGGAAGAATGTACACCACGAATATTCCAAAAGAGACCAATCATTTGGATGCCAGGATAGAGAATCTGTTTGAGGCCATATGCCTTGTAACCATATTATGCCTACGTCCAGGATTCTCAGGAGATGGAGGAACATACTTCTTCAATCTCTGGCCTTTTTTGGAAGGGGTCAAAACTTCAACAACATCCTCAACCTCAAAAACCTCTGCAGGAAATTCAACAGCAATAGGGTTTTGTTCAAAGGGGACAATAGCCATGCTGTCATCAACTGGAAAATCTTCTTGATAGGGGATCTGAATTGAATTATCAAAAAGATGCTGCAAAGTAAAAGCTGAAAGAATAGCTGGATCTGTTATAGAGTATGATTGAACATCCTCACTCTCAGATGTGTGGGTTGGCTCAGGACTGCAGCTGGATTGAGGTTCAGTAAAAGGAACCATATCCTTCATACTCTTAGTTGCTTTAGAACATTCCCCTGGCCCTTCCAACCATGGTCCCTTATTGCCAGATTCCTTGACCCTCCAAGTCAGTGTAGTATTGCTCTTAGCCTTTCCTTTCTTGGGTTGAACAACCTGCCATCCAGTATCCCGCTCCTCCAAAAGACAAGTTTTGGACCCATGCTTCTCCCTATCCATATTCTGGCCATCCAAACCCTCCAAGGGTTTCCAGCGTGGGCATGAATCATGATCATGGCCAACCTTTTTACAATGATTACAAAAGGATGGGACAAGTTCATAATAAAAAGGAAAGATGAGCTCTTCACCACCATGGTTAATGAGAATCTTAGGGGGCGGAAGGTTGGAGATATCAACCTCCACACAACATCGTGCAAGTTCAGGCCTCGTGAAATTTAAAGTATGCATGTCAACCTTTAGTGGCGTACCAATGGTAGAAGCAATAATCCTTAGAGCCCTTTTATCATGTAGATGAATAGGAAGATCAGGGAAAGCAATCCAAACTGGCATAACAGGATTATCATATTCCTGAGAAAGTGAGGGGCACCACTTTGATAGCATCATAGTAGAGCCATGCACAGACCAAACTCTCCGCAAAAATAGTCTTACGTAGTCTTCTTCGTTTTTAAAATTGAGGAGAAAACGCTGCCTAGGAAGAGATGAGATCTCACATGTCTCCATCAGCCCAAGACGTTTAATAAACCGATCCATGGATGAGAATGATGGACGTTCTTGAAACTTGGCAACCAGGGCAAGTTTAAACCTACCAGCCAGTTCAGAGATATCCTCCTTGGTAAAAGTGACAGATGGTACTCCTTTAGAAAAACCTGTTGCTCGTCCTTGAAGTGCTTTACCCGTGAAACCCTCAGCCACAACCTCAGAGAAGAGGCGATTGCCGGCCGGAGGCCTGGGCGCTGCATGCTGATCGCCGGAGCTAGGGTTACGATCCATCATGATATATCATATATATATATATATATATATATATATATATATATATATATATATATATATATATATATATATATATATATATATATATATATATATATATATAACACAAGGCATGGGATGTGTATCCTTGTATAGTTAAATCAGCTGTTACTGAATCTCAAGTAGACTAGTAGGGATCAGATATTTATCAGTCTCTGGATAGAGACATATTTGGGCATGGCCATGCACTTTCCCAAGTCCTACTATTCAGTGGGCCCATTGACATTATACTTCTATACAGTAGAAGGGACAGATCCTGTATCTGTTATTCACATCTCCAAATATGCTTAGCGGCATACCCAACGCATAACTGTACGTCTACCAGTATTTCAGATAGCATTAGTTATGAATCAAAGCATACGGCCCCACATATCAGAGAATGTAATAACTTCAAGTCTAAGGATAGTTATAGCAAGGTCGATTTGAGAATACTGATAAACACAAAACTAGTAGATCCATGCAGTATTCTCAAGATGGGTCAATCCAGTCACATATTATCGATATAATATGCACCTACGTACAGATTAAGATATCACAATACCTATAGTCTATGAGACGCAACTATCTCATCTCGTACGTACTAGTCTTGATACGTTATGACGTCCGTATTATCATAAAGTGCGACTAGGGATATTCTAGACATAG